CACATTTCTTATACTATCTACATACATCTTATAAGAGTATAATACATATGTATAATATCAGTTAAATAAGTCCTTGACAATAGTTAACATTGCAGGAAAGTAATATATTAGACGTTAAGACTTTGTCAGGCTTAATATGAGATGCACAGGCTGCAGTGGAGACGCTGCGCACAGCTGATCGACAGCTGGGACACAAACCACCAAATACAAAAACATAATTCAGATCCAGTCGTCATGACTCCACTCCGGAGGGATTCCCCGATCATTTCTTAGAGTTTCTCATCAAGGGGGGGTCTCCTGTCCCCGGTACAAACACACTGCCTGAGGAAGGCTATGTGTATTTATTTTGTCATTAACCTTTTTCGGACCACTTATTTATTTATTTTGGTGACGATCCGATCTCCATGCTGCTACTCTGGTTCAAACTGCATCCACCAAACAATATGATTTATCTCGACCTCCCCAAAATAACCAAAATCTGACACGGTGTGAGATGATTTTTTTTAGCTGTTCTGTCGTCATTTCCTGCGATCTTCTCCATGCAGTCAGTCAAAATGAATGAATGGGCGTTTCTTTGACTATTTATAGGCAAATACGGGCGTTACGTGAAGCCCGCAAAAGCTGCACCGCGTTTCGAGTGGATTGTGATTTATAAAAGGGAAACCGACGTAGGAAGTGCCGTACGCACTTTCCTCACCGGTACGCAATGTTTGGTGAATCGGAAAATGTCGGAAAATGTCTGTACCTATTTTTTTTATTATTTCTACTACGTAAGCAACCTTCCCACGTGAATCCTACGCACGGCATTATAAATGAGGCCCCTGGACTTTTTGAGTAAATTCCTGTGTGTATTGGACACAGATTGTGTGAGAAAGAGCTGAGTAAACATTCCCACAGACAAATCAACACTAATGATTTTCATTGGCCTTACATGCAGTAGAGGATGAGACCCAGGAAGATGAAGGTGTAGTTGCTGTTGAAAGTCTCCACGTTTTTCACCATCCTCTGACACATCTCTCCAAAGTTGCGGGGTTTGGAAAACTTGCGTTGATCCACGAAGCCGGCCCAAGGGCGAATGGACAGCCGACGCTTGTCGATCCAGTCTTTAGCCATACTGATCGAGAAGCCTTTAGGGAGCCAGAGCCTATAACATTGGAAACATATATTAAGAACTGATTGCATAGCGATACATTTTTGTTTTAGTGTTAACTCCATATTTAGTTTTAAGATTGACAGCCTTGTAAACCTTTTAAAACCTTGGAAGCCTGTATTACTGTTAATATTTACATGAATTATGTGACCGTCTATGTTTCCTGTAGATATTTAATTGCTCTTTTTACTGCAATATTAGTGTACAGTTTTATTATTATGCTGCTGTGTTTATTGTGTTTTTATAACTCACAACAATTTCCTTTGGGATAAATAAAGTCTTATCTTATCTCAATTGTTATTTACTATTAGGAAATTCATAAGCAGGCCTACAGAGACTAGTTGGAGGCTATATGTATCCATAGTCAACAATAATAGCAGATACTTTATATTTCCATTGGGCTATAGGGAAGACATTTGAGAAAAATATAAATCACAAGCCCCTGTGATAATAGCATCATCTTTATAATTGTGTGAAACATTTCGCGCACATTTAATTATTTAATAATGAAAATGTATAGGCCCTTACTTTGCCAGGATTCCAGCTCCACCTGTCCCAGTAGGATGAGCGTCCTCAGACCCGAACATATCTCCAGCCTTGCTGTCCATGTCTACAAGGCAGTTCTCCCCCGACGGAGCTCCAGATGGCATGTATAGACTGTCTGCTGCAAAGCAATAGTAATGCAAAAACACATGAATAAATACCATTCAAACACAATTTTCGTATCTAAAATTTATTTAGCTGTTTAGCGTAAAATAGGCCTAAAGATGATGTTTTATCAGGCACAAACAAAGTGATCACCTGAGTATCAACAAACGTTTCTGTCTCTATATACAGAAACGATTCTGAACGACTGGTATTCCAAGCGCTACTGCTGACACACTTGATTAACCAGTTCTCTGTTTATCAGATAACTAGTCAAGTCAAATTCAGATACATAACTAGATGAATGTTCACATATGTGTATATATGTGTACATTCACCTGATCCAAGTTTAATTCATGTTAATTCTATTCATACTGCTTCTACATGTTTTATTCTTACATTATTTGTTATTGTTATTTATATTCTCATGTGTACTATCTGTGTTTGTCTCTTATTCTGGCTGCTATGACACCTGAATTTCCCTACAGTGATCAATATGCACTATATATATATATATATAAATAAATAATACAAAACACCAAACATTCTGGATTTAGCTTCACAAAGGTTAAGAGTCGATTACTTTATGAATTACAATGAGTTGAAACATGTATTGCTAGAGGCATCAATCATGATTTTTTTGGTGAACTTAATATTTAAAAAGTCTTGAAAGAGTATCACAGTATTTCAGAAAAAAAGGTCAAACGTGTGCATTTATTTCAAAAGTAAGTAGTAATTAATGTGTTACTACTTTGTTTATAACAGGAGCAAGAAGCCTACACTTCACACTAAAGCTAGCTCAGTTTAGCTACAGAGCAGTATTTGGGTAATGGAAAAATCTTAGTAAACAGGGCTTGGTCAGTGCCACATCACTAAAAACAGGATACTCAGGAAACCTGTGCTAGCATCCGCCCTTAAAGTGTTCATTTATGAGGTAACTCAGATAGTGTTGTTCAATCCAGAACATGTTTTACAGATAAATAAAATCAGTGTGTAGAAAAAACGACTTTTCTGCTAGTTGAAAAGATTGCAACAGCTAGCTTCTCTGCTAACGTTCATCTTAACTACGGATAATAACAGCGATAATGTACACGGTGGAGGTAGGATGTGTTACGCGGATAGAAATAAGACATATTGCATTTTTGTTCTCTAAAATCACGTTATAAAAGTATATACTTACATCAGAACTTTTGTGACAGGACTGGGTTTTGTTGCTATTCTTGTTCACGGATGTGATGTGGATGTCATTTCGCTTCCGGTTGTGTGAGTGCAAAACAGCGCCATCTTGTGTCCGCCCCGGGGAGATACTGTCCGCACATAAAACAAAATGTACCCTGCAGCTTCACATCGTTTTCTGTGATCGTCACTCAATAAAGAATTCATATATAATTTAAATTAAGTGTTTCTTACAGCCAGCAGCATGTAAACAAGGCATTGAACATGATTTAAAAATACAACAAACAGTAAATATATACATATCAAAAGGAGATATACCAATAGAATAGAGTATCTAACATTACATATTTTGTTGAAATTGACATGTTTGTATGGTGTGCCACTTGTACTATTTTGTTGCATTTGACATATTGATAATATGAAAGGTTAGGATAGCAAATGTGTATTTATATTTATGAATGTTTTTTGGGGTGATTAACATAAAGCACATTTTCCAGTAGATGTTCAAAATCATGGATGGCATTGTCCTAGAAAAATCTACAAATAGCTTGCCTTGTTTTTCTTAGCAACACAGCTGTGGCAAATTAGGTAAAACAGGAGCAGACTCGGGGTCGGGTGTGAGTCCTTTCTATAAATCGCTCTGAGAGAAAATCTGACTCCAGATCAGTTAGAAGAACACGTGACTTGGCAGGCGTCGCGCTGTGATTGGACAGTTTCTCTATGTTATTGTGCAACTAGCAGTACTACAAGTTGCTGAGGAAGCATTCAGACGATCCGACGTTTATGTCCAGGAACGTGAGAATTCAGGTACATTAAATGTTTAAACATCACTTTAAATGAATGTAACCATTTTATACCCGTTTGTATTCACGTTATAAAAGATGTCACCGTCTTTATTTAGGTGCGTGTGCAGCTAACGTTAGCTGGTTACGGTCCTAGCTTAAAAGTCATTAACGTTACTATGCTTAATCGCACATTCGTCACGTATTTCTAACCACAGTTAACAGGATATCTGTTCTATGTATGTCGTATCCCACCATTGATATCACTGGTTTTTCATTTGAGTTTGGTTATTTAGCTAAAACGTTGTTTCGAAGTGCATTTTGTTTACGCTTGTTACGTTTCCCCCCCCAGAAAAACGTGATGACGTACCAGGTTAAGGGGGTTATTTGCTTCAACGTTTGCTGCTGAGTACTTCCAGGTCTCTGGCTGCTGAAGATACTCTGTGAAACGACGCCAACAAAACACATTCACACTGACAGAACTCTACACTGCATGCTACAAGACAGCGTCGAGCTGACATCGAAGACAGGTAGGACTGCTGAGCTTTGCTGAAACATACTGCTCTAAACAGTCTAATCCAGGGAACGCGCGTGGCTGAAATGTAACTATAACAATAACAGTTGTTTAAAGCTGAGGTTGGAGAAGTACTCGGATAATTGTACTTAAGGCGAGACACCCCAGGTGAATAGGGTAATATTTTTATCAGCTAGAAATGTCTCCAGTTAATTACTTACAATAAGGCAATTGTTTTTTGTTTTACAAGTTTTCTGAAATAGCATGTTTAAATATGCAAATGATCCATTATCTCACTAAATATGCGCATATTTTAACACATTTCAGGAACCGAAATCTGAACTTAAAAGCCAGGTTCAAAATTCTTGTTTCATTTTTGTAGTCATATTAGTATCTAAGGCTTTTACAGAAGGGATTTTGGATATCTCTTTTTATCACTCCATCAATCAGAAAATACTGTCAACAGCCCTAAAATATCAATTTTCGCCATGTTTTTATGTATAAAATGTTATATAATTCAGGCTATGAATGATATATGAACAAACCCTTCTGTAAAAGCCTTCATAATTGATAGACTGAAGTGGACATTTCTAACTCCTAGAGTAGGAGAAAAAACTAATTTTGAGAAAACGACCTTTAAAGATTGCAGTGTGGCGCTAGCTATACCCTCCTTTTCTCTGGATGACAGCTTGCGCCTCGACGCACTCCGTGAAGCTATTTCATGTTCGGGGTCATTTGTTTTTTGTATAACCTTGCTTCGTACAAATGACAATTGTTGTTGTCTTCTCTTTGAACGTTTTTTTTCGCCGTTCTTTTGCCATTTTGAGATTTCAATTTCTTGCGGAAAGCTAACAAGGAAGTGTTTTAGTACATCAAGTGACGCATCTGAACGAATGAGATTTTGTTTCTTGGTTTAAGACCCTTTTGTACTTTCACGATTGGTTGCTGATACAAAGGAAATGACCATATTGGGATCCGATGAGATTGTGCAGGAGAGACAAAAGGCTTGTTTGAGACAAGCGAGACCTGCGCAGACTTGCGGAAGTTCGATCAACGTCTTGCTCGTGCGTTGCATGATGGTTAGTCATTTTGTCTGACTTGCTCTGGAGGCTCGCTCACATGAGACGTTGAAATCTCGCGGGACAAAGACGCCCGCAGCCTTGAGAGCGAGGCGCGGCGAGGCGGCGCAGTTCCTCTCCTCGGGCTGCGGAAGCGAAATGCTTGATGGGAAACGACTCGCTGGTATCTCGAGCTGAGCGCTCATTGGTGGTTTTTACCCCGTGCTGCTGATGAAACTCTCCGATTGGCTCGGCAAAAGTTTGTTGTTGTTTGGTGTCAGTTTTACGTCGCCACTTCCATTCACATTTTTCATCATTGTTCCACAATGTTTATCATCATGAAATTCATATCTATATATGTTATACTATACTTGCACTGCTTACCGTTTTCATACTTTATATATTTTAGCATATTCATACACACTGCTCATACTGCTCACAGGCTGCTGTGTATATTCATACCCCTCACTGTTTATTCATCATTCAATTCATTCTATATTTTATTCTGTAGATTGTGTACATTACTTTTCACTTTACTGCTTGTTGCACTCCTGGTTGGAAGCTAAACTGCATTTCGTTGTCTCAGTATCTGTAAACTGTACAATAACAATAAAGTTGAATCTAATCTTGAGCAGGAACAAATGTATTTACTTAGTACATATCTGACATTAACGATTAAACACACGTGTGCATTCTCTATAAATGCAAACCGAGTCAAGCCGACTCCGGAGGTGGCGGTATGCACCTTAAAGTTGTTTGCAATCCGCCAAAAAAACGAGAGAAGAAGAAGGCGAAGAAGAAGAAGAAGAAGCCGGTCGTTTCTCAATCTCGAGGATTCTGGCTTCCAAGCCAATATTTCAAGGATGCTACGTCATCGAGTGCCGCCGAAGGACTGTTCCAATCTCCAGCATACTTGGACTTAAAATCCCCCACAATGCTTTGCGCACGGA